CTGCTGTGCTCCTGGCTCCTGCTCATACAGACGTACCTGCTTAAATGGGTTCTAGTGACAACCTATTACTCACATGCGATTTTACTTGTTAACACGACATGTTTTGGCAAACAGCTGTGAGCTTTAACATTTACTGGAGTTAGAGACGCAAAAATCTGCCTTCCCTTGCAAACTATCACACTCAAGAGAATTGCTGAGAATCTTATCAGAGACACAAATAGCATTATGCACTGAACAACACATCCGGCTGTGCTTAAAACTGTGTCCATCATTCTTCAAAGGAACAGTACAGATATGTGACACTGTTATCATTCAACTGACAGATCAGAGAATGCAAGTGGATTGGTAATAACCATTCCTGCATGATATTATATTTAATCCTCCTTTATGTATTTTCTAAGAATATTTGACAAAGAGAGCACAGAATGGTGTTAATTCCGAACATTTGCATTTTTGGATTTTAAACGTAATGACCTACACTAAAAAACAACCTATTATAAAGCACAATGGAAGAAAAATGAAAAGGGTAAGATGATGACCACAAAGCATTTGGAAAACAAAGACATCTTTTATGTCATGCCTCATTACATCTGTGGTCCTTGGCCTCTTTGTGCTCTGCTATTCACTTTTTTACACAGTGAAGCATCCAGACTTGCAATCTTTTTTTTCCATTCCACCTATTTTCTACTCCTTGAGGTGTTTTATGCCACTTGCATCAAAGTGTGAATCTCCACACACTGAATACCAAGAACATTTCACTCCATGTTGCAATAAACAAGAAGGCTAAACCTTTTTTTATATGCAAAGTATGTACTTAAAATAACTACACATAATACAGTCAAAGGAACCTGGATCTATTTAAAATAAGCATTTAGAAGTCTGCACAGTGTATGTATGTAACCTCACAATTAAAGCTCTGGATGATGTTTTGTTTTAATTATGTAACCAATCAATGCTTAAAAGGAGCATCATCTAAGTGATTTTACAAAGCATAAAAGGAAGAAACAAATGCCGAAATATTGCACCTGCTTTTACTTTGTATTCGGGTATTGTAGTGTTCTAACAACAACATATATTAAGCCATTAAACTTTTTAAAGTCCTGCAGAACTAACTTTAATGTTCTGTAGAGTTAGTTACATTGGTTAATTGCTGTCTGATTGTGTCGCTTCCAGAGGCTGACAGTGTACGGATTATATTGGCTGCATTTATTTCATTCAGAACAAGGAAATGGCTTTTTGAAACTTTTTTCATCCCATCTGTTCCTGGCAGCTCTTTTCCTCTACAAATACCTCATTGTGAAAAGTGACATACTTTTCACTGGCAACAGGCTAACATTACAGTTTTGTGGAATATCTATTTCAGGGCTATTCACCCCTAACAAAACCTTCCTATGGTTGAATAATATAACATTGTCTTCTATAGCTGCATTATGGAAATGCTGGCTTTACTTGATCTGAAAATCAGTTTAATAAATAACAGCTTTTAAAGGATTATGTCTTTGTTTTGTTTTTGCATTTGTAATTATGACTTCACTTTCAGCACAAATACAATTTATACTTTAAATAGATGTTCACTAGATATTTCAATTCAGGCTTTGTTTGAACTCAGGAGAATTTCTGGCAAACGGATATTGTACCCCTAAGTGATAGCCTTCAGCTGGAAACAACAGTGTTCTGCTTTCTGTCCAAGTCATAGCAAATGAATGGGTCTGTAGATAAATGAAGGACAAGTGACTATTTCTTCACAAATAATGGCAACATCTTCCAGCTTCAGCTTTCTTTTCAAAAAAAGTTCAGCATGCCTGGCACTTCGCTGACAATAAATCTTTCTCAGCTTTGAAAAACAGAAGATTTTATAGAAGAAATAAGGAAGAAATGCTTGTCTACACGATCCTGCTCTGATAAAACAAATTGATCAGATTTTAAAAAGGGGGAAGGCAATGTGCTACGAGCTTAAACATGTATATATAATGTTGTTGACCAGCAGACTGGCTGTGCAGTATTTGCAATTTTAATTCTCTGTGAATTGTGCATATGATGAAAATAAATTCTACGGTATCTTATCTATAGGTTAAACTATTGTTTATTTTATACATACAGTGCCTTGTAAAAGTATTCAGACTCTTCTTGTAGGATTCAAAATTGAGGCATGCACATCTTTTTTAAACTTGCTGTTCTATTCAAGTTTACGAATGCTTGAACTGCAGACTTCCAGGGGGAAGATCAGTATGACGACTATGCCAGCAAAAACTAAAGAGAAAAAAATGGAGATGTTGATTTCGGAATGAGGTATTCAGGCATAGCTTGGGGCTTGGTTATAGGCAAGTTTTCAAGCCTTTCAATAGATTCTCAATAAGATTTCGACTGGGTCACTCAAGGACATTCCAGTTCTTATTCTCAAGTCACTCCAGTGTACCGCTGACCCTGTGCTTTGGATCACTGAAAGGTAAATTTTGGACCCGGTTTTAAGCCTTTCCAGACTGAAACATGTTTTCCCCTATTATTTGTCCATACTTTATTCCATCTGCTGTATATTCCCATCAGTCTTGACAAGCTTCCTAGTCCCTGCTGATGAGACGGCACAATGATGATAATGCATGATGCCACCATCATGCTTGACAGTAGCGATGGTGTTGACTGGGTGGATGTTCTGGTTGTTTGGACTTGATGGTTTTGCATGTACTGTAGATCAAAATGTTTCAATATTTCCTGCCTGACAACAAAACAGATTTTGCCACACGTCTGCAGTATCACTTGTGAATTCTGTACAGGATCTGAGAGTGTTTTTAAGTAACAGCTTCCTTCTTGCCTGTCTGCCAGCTTTGACTCATGGCAATTTTCTCAGAACTCAGCCACTGAACTCTGTAGCTTTTTCAAACTCACTGTCGAACTCTACAGTCTCCTCCTTTCCTCCCTTCTCTCAACTTAGTTTGGAGTTACAGCCTGATCTAGATAGTGTCCAGGTGGTATAATATATATTTCACTTCTTATTGGTAGACTTCACCAATGTCTTTTAATTTTTTTATACCTTCTTCTTGGTCTGTGTCTATACTGTATACAAATGTACCCCAGGGTAGTTTTGAAAGCTCTTTAGTGTTCATGGTTGAATCCTAGTTTTATATTCACCATCTCACTGAAGGACATTATACTGTAAATGGAGATGTAGAGGTGTATTTATTCTGAAATCATGTGAACCACTATCACTGCACACAGACAGAGGCTACTCAACTGAGTGGCTCATTAAGTACATTTTGTGCACCTAAATTAATTTAGGAACAAGGAAAGCTTTATCCAATGCTGAAAAGAGAAGAAACGAAACACAATGTTTCAGCTATAGACCCTTTTATGGATGCACATGTTGTGTTTCTTTTCTTCTCTTTTCAACGTGGAATAAACCTTTACTTGTTCCCTTGCAGCTCACACATGCTGACGCAGCTACAGTAGCTACAAGTAGCTACCTACTTGAACTACAGTAAATTAATTTAGGTTTTCCACAGTTTAAATACTTTTTCATTTTGTCTTTTTTATTAATTATTTACTTCTCTCTGTTTATTACTTTTAAAATAATAGGGAGTAAGTTCTGTAAATATGTAACAAATATGAATTGCAACTTCAAAGTGTCATGAGTGCAAGCTTTAGAGCAACAAATTGTGAGAACCGCGAGATGTTCACTATAAATGAGAAAGTAAGATACGGATTCTGTCTAAAGGTAGAAAATGCAGGACAAATGAATAATTTTTGGCTTTGCAGAAGGGGTAACTGGGATAGTTTATGTTGTTTTTTAAAAACAACTGCATGTAGGAACAAGCACATACATTAGTGAAGAGGGAAGATGTATTATTTTCATCACAGTAAAGGCCACCACATACTGTATGACATCGGCTTTAAAGGAGAAAGTGGCTGTAAGCAAGCTAGGGCATGTGCAACAATCATAGAAACAACCTCTTCTTGTGAGATGGCTACTTTTCTCATTTAAAAATGATCCGGATGCTTTGCTTGAAGACTTGGGAACCATGAGACAGCTTGTTTCGTTCAGCATTCAGTACATGCACACAGCCGGCAAAGGGAGTGGATCATATTACTATGCGGACCTAAAAAAATGAACACGTGCTCCGGTCAGCGATATAAAAAAATCGCTAGCTTATATTATTGGCATGTATTCTACGGGAACCACTGGGACAGACAAGATATTGGAGTTAACAAGCAGCAAAAGTAGACCAAAAGCTGTTACAACACATTCAGACCTTGAAAGGGACTGAAAAGAAACGAGACAAACCTAAAGTTAAATAGCAACAGGGACAGCAAGTACAAAAAAACAGATAATGAATGATAAAGACAAATCAGTCTTTACCACGGATTTTACCCTTTCAATGACTTATTTCCAGCCAAGGGGTATGCATCAGCTCTCAGATGACAGCAACCTAGGCTGCCCGTACATCTTACAAGCACATCTAATAACCACACTGATCTGCACCTCATCTTACACCAGAACTCTAGGCATTTTCAACATGAAAACATATTTTAATTATCTGAAAACACTAGAAAAAAAAACTTTTAAAACCAGGCCCACTTTCTTACTAATGGAATAAAGTAAGTAAAAAACTCTTTTTGTAAAATAATATTACAGACTATCTGCACCTACTCTACTGGTATGCAGGGGCCGATAAGAGTCCAAGGAAATCAATCAAGTCAGGGAAACCAGACAATTTCCTCAAAGATAACTTGATATGTAAAATCATACGTCTGCCCTGGAGTAGTGTTGAGATTGGAGGAAAGTTAATCCAAGACTATTCTACAATTATCACAATTCTACTCTATTCCACAATTACAAGGCAGGTGTCTCCCAGTGCGATGCCTAGCACATCCCCTCTCACCCTTGCTACTTAAAAGTGACAGCAGGCAACAGTCACACTCAAACAGAAAACGCCATGCTATTCCCAGCGGCCGGGGCACGTTGGCTGTGCAGGTGTCTGGAGGGCCTGTGGTTTCCTCTGATTTACCTGGCTGGTGGAAGGTTGGAGAAAGTTCCCTGGCAACAGCTCTGGCAATTTCAGATTCCTGGCAGGCAGCCTGAGCAGCCTGGTCTGCCGCATCTCCCTTAGCCCTTGCGTGAGCAGTTCTAGACAAAGCAGAAACAAGCTTATTAGGGTGGATGGCGCAGCTCTGGGCACCAGATCAGGACGCTGGAGTCCGCATGGCTGTCACTAAGTAAAATAGCGGAGGGGCGCCTCTTCTGTTATGGACAGACAAGGAAACAGGAATAAAACAAACAGCTTGAAAGCAACGTTGTCGAGCGTCCGTGTACAATTTTGGTCACCACGTTACAGAAGAGATATGTTTTCTCTGAAATCATTCTAGAGAAGCGCAGACAGATACAGTACATCATTGCCTTCAGAAAGCACTCATCCCCATGAATGATCGCAAATATTTTTTGTGCTGGATCAGAATTTATGAGGTTTTTAAAAGACTTTTTGCCCCCCCTTGATTCACACAAACATAGACAACAACCTAAAGGGGCAGAAATATTTTTATTGTGCAACCAAAAGTTATGCAAACAGGAAATATCTTGTTAACTGAATGATTCACCCCCCTTTAGACAATACTTTACAGAAGTACCTTTTTCTGCAATTATAGATTTGAGTCTTATTGGCTCTGTACATCTGGATTTGGGGATTGTTCCCATTGTTCCTTGCGGATTTGCCCGAGAACTGTTGCAGAGGACTGTATGTGAGCCACAATCTTCAAGTCCTTCCACAGATTCACAATGGGCTTTGGCTGGGCTCCTCAAGGACATTCACCTTTTTCGTCTTGGATACTTGGAGTCCTTGTCCTGTTGGAACTTGAATCTAAGCCCCAGTCTAAGGTCTTCTTGCTGACTGAAGCAGGTTCTCCTCCAGGATCTGTCTCGATCTGGCTCCATTCGTTGTTCCCTCTATTCTGACAAGTCCCTGCCGCTGAAAAGCCCTCCCATAAGGTGATGCTGCCACCAGCGTGCTTCATGGCAGGGGAGGTGTTACGCAGGTGATCAGCTGGGCTTGGTCTGCCCCAGGCATACTGCTTTCCATTCAGGCTAAAGAGTTCAAATCAGACCAGAGAGTGTTTCGCCACGTTTTTGGGGTTTAGCACATAACCTCCTTGCAAACTCTAGAAGTGCTGTTAACGTCTGTCAAGCCACTCTTCCATAGAGGATCTGTGTTGAGCGGCAGAGACTGTTGTCCTTGAACAGGTTCTATTTCTCTAATATCATAGCCATGTCAGTGTGGTCACTGAGTTCTGACCAAGGTCCTTCTTGTCCAGTTCCTCAGTGTGGGAGTAAGGCCTGCTCTAGAGAGTTTCTGTATTCTTTACGTTTCCTAAAGATGGACTGACTGTGCTCCTGAAAATTCTCGACACCCTTTATGAATTAATAACCCCTCCCCAGATGGAATTTATGCAATTATGCAATTGAGTCTCCATGCAGTTCTATCACAGTGTTGTAGAAACAGCTCCTTAGTCTTCATGATAGCGTTTCTACTCTGACATGCACTGTTAACTGAAGGACATGATAGAGAGAGATGTAGTTCTTTTGAGGTGGACTCCATTCAAGTTTTAGAGTGATCTTATCTAAGTGAAATTAGATACACTTGGGCTCATTTTGGAGTGACATAGCAAAGGGGTTAAATACATATCAAAACATTTCAGCGTTCTCTTTTAAATTACATGAAACATTTTCCAGACCATTCATCCACTTTGACTTTACAGAGTAAATTGTGGAGACGAGTAACCAAAATTCCATCAAAATATTTCATATTTCTGTTTGAGTTTGCAAACTTAAATTGTGAAAAATCCAAGGGGGTGAACATTTTCTCGAGTGTAAGGGAATGTCCTCAACTGACAGGCTGGAGGAAGTGAACCTGTTAGTCTTCAACAGAGAAGACTACAAGGGGACCTGATACAAGTATTAAAGATCCCCAATGATTCAGCATCAGTGGTGAGAAAGGAGTGCTCAAGTGGGCACTGTGGTTAGTTGCATTTAAAGCCGAACACAGAAGTCAGATCTTTACCCAAAAGGTTGTGGGAATATGGAACAATCTTCCCAGCCATCTTCTTGAAACCAATACCCTCGGTTATTTTTCAGGAATGAGCTGGAAGAGATCTTTGGACCAACTGCTACAGTAACTACCAGACAGGCTCAGTGGGCCAAACGTCCTCCTCTTGTTTGTTTTCTTTCCTGTGTTCTGACAAATTGTGTTAAAAAAATGTCTCTGGTGTGCCAGGTCCTAAATTCCAAAAATACTGGATACAGCCTTCTTCTCCAGAGAATATTAATTATTTATTTGGAATTCATATTGACACTTCTGATATGGCTTACTCCAAAAAAGGAGCTGTTCAGGAGCACCAGCAGAGCCCTTTTGCCCAGATGTTGGCATTCTGAGTTTAGACAAACTCCCTAGACTGATTGTCTATTAGTTTATTATTGACATTATTTACTTGCTTAAGCTTTAACTCTAAGTCTGGGACTCCCCAGAGACCGGCACAAAACCAGCCAGGTGCCCCTCCCTCAGCAAAGCCTGGTGCCCATGGTCTCATATGCAGTGTTACTGGTGAGAGCTGCATCAGTTAGCTAACTGATGCCAACTCTGCTGTGGGCACCGCAGGGTCACAGAGTGTGAACTGGCAGACAGCTCCTACAATGTACAGTGGTAAGACTGAGTGGATTAACCACTGCTGATTCTAAATCAGTGCACAAAGAACAACAACTGACAAACCCCAACTCGAAAAAAAGAAAATGTGGTATCGTTGACAGGCACAGTGTAGTATGATTCACTAAGTACTAAGGGTCAGAAAGATGGCTAAAGCAGAGCAATGGATACAAATACATTAGTGGATCCACAGCACTGCAGAAATAAAAAAGATGGAAAGAGATCTACTGTTACAAAACACAGCAAGAGGAAAATTCAGACACCTAGATGAATCAAGGGATTCAGAAACCATATGGTCAGATTTCAAGGGTATAGAGAGTTACAGTATATATCAAAACCTACCGTCTGTTTTACAGTGGTAAAACATTATTTTGTGTTACCATCTTGATCTGCCCGCTTTTGATTCCTAAATGTTTCGTGGCATGATAGTTGTATTACCGTGACAAAAGGCAATACAGCCAAAATCCCTCTGGTCCCCCACTAGCATATACGGAATGTTATTCAGAGACAATTTTGCTGCTATGAAAACCATCACATTCTCAACTGCTGACAGTAACAGCAGGCTGGTCAATAGGAAACGTTTAATGTTGTTTTATTACATTTTTCTGTCATTGACGTGACAGTTTTTCTTATCAATGTTAAATTAATGCATACACGTGTCATTGCATCAGTAAAGTACTGTAATGAAATCTGGAAGCAACGTTCACTTGTGATGGTAACAGGAGGACAATGGAGATACTGTAGTTAAGGCTGTTAGGAGATAAGGAGTTTACAAAATTTTAAGTTTGGCCCCTAACTTTAAACTACAGACTGACCAACTCTCTGTTTCTGACCATATCAGGATAAAGGCTTTGGCTCAACAGACAAAACGTTGAATCTGTCAGATGCTGGACAGATAAAGAGATTAGTTTTGTGGAATTGTTATTGGATCGCTATAGAAACCTGCAGGATTATACTCTGGGAATAGAACTAATATTAAAGTTTATATAACATTCTATTTTTCTGATCCCAAAATCTATCATTGATACAACTATTATAATTGCCTCATTTCCACAATAGATCAAATTTATAATATTGCCTATAATTGTATCATGACAATATCACCTTTGATTACTTTTCATAGTTAAACTTAATTATATTTTTCAAGTGCATTGCTTCTTTTTTGTAAATTAATTACCTATGTTGGTACCTATTTTATGCTGAAATTCCCATCTCAGCTGCAGATGTGGTTGCCCATAGACAGTCCCCTTTGCTTACTTCAGATGTGACTGTAATATGGGTTTGAAATGAATCCTGATACAGGGTAGCCAGAGCTGATGGCTAGTTATCATCAAATAAATATGGTATTTTTTATATCTACTGCACAAAGAGTGATGGCAGTGTGGAACATGGTACTCAGCCATGTTGGGAGACTCTGCATGCTTTCAGGTAAAAGCTGGATCAGATCCTGAGATCAATTAACTACGAGGAACCAAAAGATATGGGCAGAAAGACCTCCTCTTGTTTGTGACATTTCTTATGTTCTTACTATTTAACTTGTTTCACCCAGCCTAAGCTTTTACTTGAAACACTGAATATCTAGAGATATTTCCAAACAAATTAAAACTATACAAGTATTTAATGAAGGTACTGGAAAAACACTTCTGCCTCTGTATTATGAAACAATAATGATTAGTGTGGAGCACAACATTCCTATAATGTGCTGCCAAGCATGTGTGATTCTTTCACACATTTTTTCCATCTGCACTTTAAACAATGTGAACATAGCAGCAATTTCCTAGAGGACCTAGAGTGAGCAATGCCAAATGAAATGTGGAGCCTTAATATTAATACCCATTTCAATCACATTCATCAAATCACAGGCAGATCACGTTGTAACCATCTCAGCACTGATCGTGCCAGATGTGTTTTTTTCTTTTAGACACAGTTTTAACCGATGTACTAAATTAATACTTCACTCAGATCTTTACCAATGCACAAACTGACAACATGTCTCAGGCTAAGCTACAGCAAAGTAGCAAAGACAAACTTCTTTATTAAAAAACATTAGCATACAAGAACCCCTAGCAAATTTTCAATTTCGGTGAAACTGACAATGTTTGTGCGTTGCTTTCTGATTTGTCCATTATTATCCATCTCAAACATGATGTTGCTTCTTTCTGTACCTTCTTTATGTATTGCATAACTCTCCACAAGCTGAGCAGCCTACTTCTGTAATTAGTCTTTTGGTATGCGTTAAGTGTGAAGCACTTCGACATTGATATACATTATATTTTTAATTACACAAAGAAATGCAGAACATGACAAAGCTCCTGTGGGTGTTTATCATGTCTCAGATAATTTATGTTGTCATGGAAGGAGGTCTCTTTGAGACCTGATAAACAACCTTTGGTAACCATGTTCCCCAAATAGCTTTCTGTAAAATAAACACATAGTT